TCTAATTATAAATAATTAAGAAAATTACCTATATAATAATCTAACATGTTCTCTATTTGGTTGACCAGGTAAGGCATAACCCATGCTATGATGCCTTGCTCTCTGACGTATGCATTGGAACCTCAGCAGCACCAACTTTTCTCCCAGCTCATTATTTTGAAACCAAGGACGAATTTGGACAAACTAGAGAATTTAACCTCATAGATGGTGGCATGGCTGCAAATAATCCGGTGCGTATTATAATTAAATGATCCATTAATATTAGTATTAATGTATTAATAATACTCTCTTATCATGTTATCAGACTGTTAATTTGAACCATTTTGAATGTGAAGTTCAGATTTGTTGTCTAACAATGCAACATATACAAACGAGTAATTAAATAGTATGGAAAGAGAATATTTTACTATATATATATGTAAGGTTCATTTACAGTAAACTTGATGTTAAACACTTTTGCTTGCCCTTGCAGACTTTACTTGCTGTTTGTGAAGTAACAAACCAAATAAAGAAGGCGAATCCGGACTTCTTTCCTGTGAAACCAGTGGACTATGGACGATTTCTGGTGATATCATTAGGAACTGGCACATCAAAAGCTGAACTGAAATACAATGCACATACTGCAGCCAAATGGGGCCTCTTGAACTGGTTAACCAGCGGTGGCACCACCCCAATCATCAATGTGTTCAGTCAAGCAAGTGCCGATATGGTTGATCTTCACCTTTCTGGAGTTTTCCAATCCCTCCACTCAGAGGATTACTATCTTCGAATTCAGGTACTCTTTAATGAAAAAGAAAAACATCTTATTTAAGGATGGTAATCTAATTTCTTATGATAATTAGATTAGGGTTACATATTTATATTGACTTGTATGTGTACGCAGGATGACACGCTTCATGGGACGGTGTCTTCTGTGGATGTAGCCACAAAGAAGAACTTGGCCCGTCTTGTCACAGTTGGAGAAGGCCTATTGAAAGAACGAGTTTCCAGGGTTAATTTGGACAGTGGCAGGTTTGAGGCTTCTAAT